GCGTAGATCGTTGAAGATTTTCTGCTCGGATCTGACTTCCATCTGAGCCTCCCGGATACCGTTTGTGGCCCGTGAAATTCGGGTTGTCGTTATCTAGAAACTGCTGAATCTGGCATCGATCCGAAGTCAGTGGCGTGAGTGCCATCTTTCCTGTATGCAACCCCACGAGTAAAGCTAAGAAACAAAACTGTCGAAATGGCCTTCAATAAACAAGCAAGAAGGTTGTTATCCCCTAGCCATAACTGATTGTTTTTACTAAACCTTGTTCTTTTTCCACCCATGGTTGTTTTGTCGCGGTTTCTGTAAACAGGCTTAGTAGCATTTCTCTAAGTGCACCGAAACAGTGGTCAATCACAAACTATCTCCCTCTATCATGTTGATGTTTTTTTATAATACATAATGAAGTATTTTACTCCTTTCTCTGTACTCGTTTTATCCGTTTGAAGTGATTTTGTTTATTCGCTGCGTAAAATAAAACCAACATAATTTTGGTTCCCTTATAAATACGCATGTATCATACATACCTCAACGTTTTCATTCATTTGATCTAGGTTTGTCTACGGACTGATATGCAAGTTCATCTCCAACAGGCTCATTCGTAAAAATCCAGTGACACGTAACACCGGACAGCGGTTTATCGGAAAATGGCATCGGTCTTTTGTGCCTTGTTGTCATCGCCCGACAACCATCAAACTGATATGTCTTTCCCACCTCCCGCCCTCTCGATGCTTTGAACACGTCATTGTTTTACCAGGTTGCATAACGAGCTCGGATTACTGCTGCTCGGCATGACAATTTTTTACCCCGAACCCCGGTAGGCTTTTTTCTCTGGAATGTTGCTGCACCCGATTTCGGATCGATGTTAATCTCTATTTCTCCCACACCAACACCTATCTCGTCCTGTCTGGGAAACTTGTTTTCGTCCAAATGTCACTTCCATGGTTTCTTGTTGATTCTCATATCCACGAAATTTTCGGACCGGTCACAGTCCATTTGTTGCCAAAGT